TGCTCCTGGGTGCCGGCATCCTAGAGGCCTGTGATAGGTTAGCACTTTTGGAAGTCTCAGATTATGGAGAAAGTAGAACACATGGCAGACTCATTCTGATAGAAGAATTGGACAAACTCTGTGGGCAAGAAACTTGCTTTGAAATGGATTCTCTTTAGCTTGAGAGAGAAAAGGACAATTGATGTTTTACAGTGTCTACAAGGTTTGTAAACTTTTCAACCAAACAAGCATTTTAAGTGGAAGTGACTGTTTTTAGTATTAATATTTCCTTCAGATTTTCATTGAAGACTCAAACATCAAAGGACATGTTTAATCTGAGACAATGATGTTGGGAGAAGTTTTTAAAGGGTAAATATATAGTGTGACGTTTTTGTGCTGTTTTTCTAATGATATTTAGTCAAAATAACAAAGCCCCTTTTTTTTAAAAAAAGAGTTTTATCATTAGGAAGAGAAATCTTACCAAGGAATCCTACTTCCTAAACTACTAGTTATCCATATTGTCTCCCTTTTCTTGAGATCTATAGGAGGCCAAAGTCAGACTCCTTTCGTTCGTGTGTCAATGTCAGGTTGCAGCCAAGCCTCACCTGCCTATTTCTTTTTTTTTCTTGAGGAAGATTCGTCCTGAGCTAACATCTATTGCCAATCTTCTTTTTGTTTGAGGAAGATTCGCCCTGAGCTAACATCTGTGCCCATCTTCCTCTGTTTTGTATGTGGGTCATCACCAGAGCATGGCTGATGAGTGGTATAGGTTCACACCCGGGATCCAAACCCAGGCCACCAAAGTGGAGCGCTCCAGACTTTAACCACTGTGTCACAGGGCCGGCCCCCTATTTCTTTTTTCTCTAGTCCCCATGGCCAAACTGCAAGCCCTAAGAATAGCAGATGGATGGATCAGACTTTTAAATGGTGTTTGAATCATTCAATTCAGCCTTATTTTTTTAGCATTTCTTAAGTACTTAATTTCTCAAAACTGCTGCTCCATGTGTGTTATTGCTGATGATAAGTGTGTGTGTGTTTGTGTGTACCCTGGTGTGCGTGTGAACTTGAGAAAATTTGAACTTAAAAAATCTGCTTGAAGGGCTGGCCTCGTGGCTTAGTGGTTAAGTTGGGTGTGCGCCGCTTTGACAGCCTGGGTTCACGGGTTCGGATCCCGGGCATGGACCTATACCACTTGTCAGCCATGCGGTGGTGGCATCTCACATACAAAATAGAGGAAGACCGGCACAGATGTTAGCTCAAGGCACATTTTCCTCAGCAAAAAATAATAATAATAAATAAATATATATATACTTGACAGATTTCACTATTTAATTACTTCTACAATTAAGATATGGCTAATAAGAGAAAGTTAGTATTAAAAAAAAGCATACCTTTAGTTCAGTGTTTCCTCTGTTTATTGTGGTTCTATATATGTCTTGAAAATAGAGCCTTTCCTTAGAGGAATTTTAAATTGAATACCAGGACACAGAGTGTGTGTGGGTGTGTGTTTCTGTGATAAATCCGAACATGGTCTTCTCAATCTTAAAATTCTTCAAATTCTAAAAGCTTAGAAATTGACTGATAAACCAAATCATATTATATTTAAACTGCCCTCTCTTTAGTGGGGTTGTGTTTCCACTTGAAAGATATATATTAGAATTCTCCAGAATCTTTGGAACTTAAGCTCCAATTTCTCTGACCCTACAGAATTTTAGACCAGATCAGGAATGGGCAGCCAGTCACCCTGGTGCCCCTTACATTGTAACTATAGTAGCTGCTGCTGATACGTTATTCTCTCTCTGGCATTCGTTTCTTTTTCTTGACTCTGCATTTCCCTCTGTTTCCATTAAAAAGTGTTTATTCTTCAGTAAATAAGGGAGTAGCTACTAAACAGTGTAGTTAGATGGAGGCAGTTGGGTTGCCCTGTGGACATATTCAGGCAATTGCGTGTTAGGTATTTGGTAGCCCGAGAATGTGTAATTCTTTGACTGTGTTTTTAAAGTACTCTTCTGAAGATGTTCAGCATTTTCTGGTTCTTTTCTGTTCCTGGAGCCTGCGTACATAAGTCAGCAATATCATGCTGTGTTAAGGAATGCAGGATGCTCATCAACTCTGTCATTTGCTTTTGCTTAACCTGTTTCATTTTAATTTAATAACATTGTTCAAATGCTAGATCCTATGCAAGGACCTAAGAATATAGGGAGAAAAGATCTTGAAGTTGAAAAGATTGACTGCTTGGACCTAGTCGTCAGGTTTCTACCTCAGATTCTGCCTCTCTGCTCCAGCAATTTAAAAATGACTCCTGCTCATTTTTCACGTTTGATTTTTTTTGTTTTGTTTTTACATTTCTTGTGCCCTTTTAGTTCCTCCCTTTAAAATAATTGAGCCAATTTCTCAGTCCCTTTTTATTATCATATCTAGATCTATAGTCTTCTGAAGTAACTCATGCTTGGAGAATCTTCTCCCCATCACCACCCCAGTGAGTTTCATTGCCCTTATTCTAGCAGTTCACTTTTTAAAATGAAGCTCTTTGTGTTCTTGGTGATGGTTCCATATAATTTATAGTCTATGTGCTTTCCTTGGATTGACATACCCTTCCTTTCCCTACACTGTGCTAGAGAGATCATTTAGGAAATTGAGTTGAATTGGGGTCTAGGGCCCAAATTATCTACTGCAAATAATAATTTTTAAAAAGCTAGATTTTACCATGAAAGATGATTGACATTCATTCAACTCATTATATATAGGTTGGCATATGATTAGTAGTGATTATATATACTTTCAGAATGTAAGTCCCATAAAGTACAGTGTAAGTCCATAGTGTAGATCTATTCTCTGCACACTGAATTTCTGAGAGATGCAAACCATTGGAGGGACTTGAATTCAAAATACAAATCTTGTAAATTTCCAAATTTCCATTTCCTTTGCTCATAAGAACCAGGTACATTGATGGCAAATCTTTGTCATCTTGCTGTGAATTTATGACACACTGATTGAGCAAGAACTTGCAGGAATTTGTAAAGGGAAGTCATTGAGGCCCTGTCTTTAGCAATTTTGGAGGATGTGTATATGTGTGTGTAAAAAGGGTAGGGGTGAGGGGGTCACAAAAACCTTTGGATGAGAGTGGGAATGTGTGTGAGAAAACCTTTCTACTGTTTGTTTAATAGGTCTACGAAATGAGAACCATCCTTGGGAAACTGGTCTTCATTAATTCAAGAATCTGCTTTGTCAAATTCTTTATTTCTCATGTTAAGATTATTTGAACTTCTGCTTAAATAAATGTTAGACCATTGGACTTCTCCTGATTTGCTATTCTTTTCAATGGGAAAAATATTCTAAACCCTGAAAGGTTCCCCCTTGGATAATGTGGCGAAAAAATGTTGGTACCAACAAAGTTTTCATTCAGGTCACCAGTCACTTCTTCCCCATCTGTGAGACAGAATATAAAGCTGGATAGGCTTCCCTTTTAATAAAAAAGCCCAAGACTGGGGAGCCAAGTCACCTATTAAAATTACAGTATGACAGCATATATCTTAGATTTCTGTTTGCAGCCTTCACACTACTTGTGTTGTCTTAAAAGTCACAGATAGCCCTTGTACAATGGGAAGATTGTATATGTTTGGATTCTTTATTATAAGCAGCAGAAACCAACTCCTCTTAAGAAGAAGGGTCTTTATTGGAAGGGTATTAGGTATTCATGGAATTGATGAGATCAAACAACTAGGCTTGGGATAGACAGGAAACAAGGCTACTCTGGAAGTCCAGGAAGCAAGAACTACCTGAAGGTGTTTGTAGGAGTTGCTGTCTGGGCAGGAAAATGGGGGCGCCAACCATTCTCAGCCGCCTATCCTCCGGCTCACAGGAAAATTGCCAGAGGGAGTATCTAGTTGGCCCAGCTTGGGTCATCTTACTACATCTTCATGGAGGGTGGGTGGGGCCCTGCAGGTCTTCTCCAAGAAAGGTCGTTCTCCAAAGGGAAATTAGGGTGAACGTGTTGGGAGGATGTTATGCTAAGCCGCCAAAAGCGACAAATGACCACCACAGGGTAGTGGAGAGGATTAAATGACAGAAAGCCAGTACTAGTTTTCCTTTGTAAATGAGAGTTAGAAAAATGTGCTCAGGTATGTTGGCTACGAGGAATGGCTATCTGTCTCTGTATCTCTGTATACCTGCCACCCTTCCGTTCTCTCTTCTCTTTTAGTTTGGGCCTAGGAGGGCAGTGCTGTTCTGATGTTGATTTGAACACATGTGGGATCCTAAATATGTCCATCAAAGGGGCTGATGGTGAAGCTGTTGTACTTTGATCCATTTCGAGAAATTCCTTTTTTGTAAGGCCTTTTTTCCCTGACTGAATCAGTATTAGCCTATTTACCTTGTGGCACAATTTACTAGTTAGCCTGCCTTATCCGTAACTGCCCAGATATGGACAATTTTGTATTTTAAGTATGTTTATCAGTAGCCATACTTTTTACCTTTTAGATTCATCTAGATAAATAAATTCATCCCCCAGTCTGATTTTAGTTGGTTGTTGGAGTTGATTTATATATGCAGCACAGAGTTACTAAGTAAATATTGCTTAATGATTAAAGCTATAACTTTAAGGGAATATTAAGATACCTTGCTAAACCTTGTTACTGGAGAAATGGCAATCGAATCCTACACCTTAGTCTGATATTCTCCATTTTAAAAGGAGAGTACAGTCTTTCAAAAGGAAATGAATTTTAATGTCCTGGAATGTAGCGAGGGTACGTATCTTTTCACTCATCTGTGAACATTTAACAATATTTATAGCATACCTCCTGGGTATAAGAAAAAAATGATCAAATGTAGTTTTTATCAAATGAATTTTTAAATGATGACTTAATGACACTTCTGTCTAGTCCCTGTAAAGCTCTAAATTTCTGTAGCTCCCACCATCAACTTCTGAACCATTAGTCTAATGCTAAACAGAAACCCTCTGGACATTTTGAGTGTCGCTTGGGGGTGTCCTGAAAAGTTGACCCACTGTGTTTCTCTTTCAGCACCCAGTGCTTGATGAGCCGATAGCTGAAGCTGTCTGTATTATCGCAGACACGGATAAGTGGAGCGTCCAGGTCGCCACCAGTCAGAGGAAAGTGACGGACAACATGAAACTAGGCCAGGACGTCTTGGTCTCTAGTCAAGTGTCCAGTTTACTTCAATCCATTTTGCAGCTTTACAAGCTTCACCTCCCTGCTGATTTTGTAAGTATTTGTTCTCATTTTATCAAAGAAATATAGTTTAAAAAGCACTTTTAACAATATTTGGATTATAAAGTCACAAATTCATATGTATTATTTTTAGTATAATTGGACATTAGCTTAAGTAAAAATAGAACATGCAACATAAAACCAGCAAACAGGATAGATTTCAGTAACAGTAGCACTTCCACGAAACAAATAACAGAGTGACACAAATCTTTTTGAACAAGGTATATGGGAAAGTAAATAAGATGGAGAGCAGGGATCAAGCACAAAAGTAAATTTAAAATCCTCCTTTGGAGAACTCATTAGTTCTCCTTTTGTTAGATGGATATCAAGCAAGCCAGCTTCTGAAGGGATTGTAGTTCCTTTTGTTCAGAGACCATCCTCACAAAGTTGTTATGGATAAAATCGAATATTGTTTGTGTAAATGCTTGAAATTTTGAAGTACCGTACCCATAGAAGAGGTATCAATTGTTCCTTTTCAAATGGGATTTTAAAATCACTTTCATAATATTGTATTAAATACAAGCGACAAACAGAGCCTGTAAACTTCTATCAACAGCTCCTCCTCAGTCACTGGCATTAGTATACAAAACAGATTCTTTTCAGTATGGATGTGTGTACAGAGAGATTGAGAGAAAATATATTTAGACAGAGGGGGAGAGAGAAAGGCTTCAAAGGTAGAAGAGAGGCTTAGGGGCGGATGGAGCTAGGAAGAGCGGAGAGGGCAGCCCTCGGGCATTAGCGCGTAGATGGAAGAGCGCCTGCCTTCCCCCTGCTTCCCCCTTGTGTACACTGTTCTCTCTGTATGACTGCCCCAACCAAAACATCTGTTACCTCCCTTCTGGCCTCCACAAAAGATACAGAACTATTTATCAACAAAATAGGAAGCTGAATATAAATTACCTACACTCATTGCTAATGGAGTGGTAAATTTCCTGAGTTCTTATGACCAAATCTTACCATTGCACCACATTCCTCAGAAATAGTCAAGACTCTTATGGCCTTGAAGGAGATGCTTTGAATACTGTCTGGTTGTCGTCCAAGTAGTGGCAGTGTGGCAGGATAGGGAGACCCCTGAATGTAACTGGGTTATAGGCTGAGTTCTGCTGTTGATGGCTTGTGTGATGGTGCACAATCCTGAGCGTCTCTGGACCTCAGCTTTCTCATTTGTGAAATGGAGATAGTACCTATTCAACGAGCATGTTGTGAGAATCCTCTGAAACTCAGGGCTAAGACGCTGCTTTTGAAACTGTCGAAGCACATGCCAATAAGAGCCACTCTAACAGCCAGTGCACAGTGGCCAGCACACAGGTTGTGGAGACCAATGGCCTGGAGTCCAGTCCAAGCTCTGCTGCATCCCAGCTGTGTGATTTCTCAAAGTCTCAATTCCTTATCTGTAAAGCTGGGGAAATAATAGAACCTATCTCATATGGTTATGAAAACGAAATTAGATAATTCATGTAGAGCGCTTGGAATACTGATAGATGTTATAAGCTCTCAGGAAACAGCTACTATTAATATGATTGTTAATAATAATTAGTTTCATGAAAGAATCTTAATGGTTGTAAAGACTGACAACACCTTTTCACTAAAATCTTTATTTGGGCTTTAAACTGAAGCATACTCTAGCAGGACGTCCGTCCCAGGGACAATACGAGAAGCACTTAGGGGTTGCCATGACCTTATTTTTGTTCTGCATTTGTAGGCAGTTTTTCTTTCTAGTAGCAAGTTGCGTGATGCTGATTTAGAGACCAAAGTCTCCTTTTCTGTAAGGGAAAAAAGAAATATTAGATTTTATAGTGTTTTGCTGTTATATTAGTGTTTACCAAACTTTTATGTGTTATTCTATAACACATAGATGTTGTTACATTTGACTTCATAGTTATCCAAGCAATACGTTACTGGAGCTAATTCTTTTTGCTTCATTTGGATTGAAGTATATTTAGCCATCTAATACTACCAATGACTTATTTACCCCGACAAAACCAAGATCAGAGGAAATTCCATCTGCAGTTTAAAATTCTCCTTAAAAATCACTTGAATGAAACACTTGATTAAATGGCTCTTGGAGCCTTCAGTATGAAAGAACGTAGCTATTTAAAATTTCAGAAGTTAAAAATTGAAGAAATCCATCTCAGGAATAAAATCCCAAATAGGGGAGGAGGGAACCCAAAACAGTTCTGTTTGATAATCAAGGCTTTTAAAAAGTTTTCTAGACGCTTTGATTTCAAGTTTAGTAAACTTTCCATATAGACCAATGTTCTCTTTATATCCACATTGCCACATACAGTTTTCCTGAGGCCTGTGAAAACGCTGTAAATTAACTGTTTTAAAACATAAAGGATTCAATGTAATGTGAATGTTCTTTTGAATATTTTATAACACTCTTATTAAAAACTTTGTATTTACTCCATAAGGAACTGAAACTTAACAGGAGATCCTTTCACCACTTAACTCTGTTTACTTGGGGGAACATTTTTGTGAGAATTGGTGAAATCCTCACTTTGATGATTATTCTTAGTCACTTACCAGTTGTGTTTCATCCACCCAACACAATGCATTAAGGTTTTAAGCCAATGAAAAACTGAAAAAATTGCATCTCTAATAGATACTTTTTCCATGTCACTGATCAGTCCAGATGGTCAAGATCAACATTTTCAAATGCATCTGTTAATCTTTTTACCTTGAAAATAGCAGGTGTAATGGTCTAGAATAAAATTATGTATGATGGAATTAGCCTTGCCAAAGCCATCAGGTGTCTTACTGAAGATGCTTGCATAGCTCTGCCTGCCAAATGGGAAAGCATTTGCCTCTGGTGAAAGACACAGATGGTTGCTATTCTCTAAAAAATGAAGTTGGACACAATTCCAAGGGTAGAGATGTCCTGAAAATAATTGCCTTTTCTTTATTGTTATTAAAGACCTAGTTAAAATACACTCTTGAGAGGAAAAAAAAAGTTCAAAATAACCTTATTTCAGTCATTTTACTTCTGGGAATATATTGCACCAAAGTAATCTGAGATATAGGAAAATAGTAAAGACAGAGATATTCTTTACAAAATTATTTATAATCAAAACTGCAAATTGCTGTGTGATTAAGTAAATAATGGTAAATTCACATTCTCAAATATTATTCAGCCATAAAAATTACATTGATAAAGAATTTTTAATAACATGGGGAAAGGATTATTAGAAAGTTTTTAAAAAGCAGGAAATACGTGCACTTACAGAATGATTTCAACTATGAAAAAATGCTTTTTAAGAAAGACTAGAAGATGTATATAAAAATCTTAATAGTCGTTAGGAAAAGTAAACTTTATTGTTTTACAGAAACCTATTCTCATACCTACTAGTGGTAGGATTTGAGATGGCTTGTTAAGTGTCTGTGAAAGGGGGCAGATTATAGCTGTGTACTTAGAAATGAATTAAGAGAATTTTCCAGGTCGTAGAATACTGGCAGAGATTTGAATCCCAGCCCTCATTGTGAATGTTATTGGCTTCACAGTGTATCATGCATCTTGAAGACAGACTACAAGAGATGTATCTGAAAAGTAAGATGCTGTCTGAATATCTTCGTGGACACACACGAGTCCATGTGAAAGAATTAGGTGTCGTACTGGGGTGAGTCCTCTGAAGTGCCACCATGTCTCCCTGGGATGGGCCTGTTTCTGGCACTTGTGTACCCACTGACCCTCTTAGCCTGCGCCGCCCTAAACCTGCAGGCCCTGGCGCCCCACTGAAGTGTCTGGGGTCCATCAGATGTGTGCCTCTGCTCCTCCCCAGTGAACAGCACGTTCCTTGTGTTCGATGCTGGAGTTTCATACCTGGAAACAAACGCAGAACTTTAAGCTGGTGGTACTTTATGTTAGTCTTCTCCCTGGATTATTTTATGCTTGGAAGTGAAAATTTTAATCCCACTCTGCCCATTGCTACTCATTTCAGTACGATGTTGAAGTCGCAAGCAGTCAGACAAGTGGCGGCAGCTCGTGTTTATATTTCACTCCCTGGAGGAGACAGGAAAGGCCACCCTCCTGGGCTTTCAAGGGGCCTGTCTGCACGACTGCAGGGTGACTGTACTCTCCTTCCTCTCATTATCAGCCCACCAGAAGGGGAGGCGTGCTAATGTCACTCATAACGGATATCATCTTCCAGAGGGCCTTTGCTGTCACTTCTCCAGGAGAAGAAATTCTGACTTTTACTCTCTGCCTAATTTTTCAGCAGAGAGCTAACAAAAAGACATTGTGTATATGGGGAATTGTACCCCTTACTTATGATGATGATTTCCCTAATTTGGGGCAAGAAAATAATGTGTACATAACATCGACCTTGAAATTCTCTATTAAGCCTGCTAATCAGGGTTATTTCGAGACTCAGGCTTTGCATTCTTGTCAGCCTTTTCGTCTTTCACACCCAGGATATGACTTACTGTATTGTTTGGCTCTTAGCATTTCCTGTCATACATTTTTCTTACATACTTCATTTAAAAAATATTTTCCCCTTTTGAGGCATTTGCTTTTGCAGTTAACTTGCAATATATCTCTTTGTCATATTTTTTTCCCTAGTTTTTTTTTCAACCTCTTTACCAGCCTTATACTTTAGTCCTGCCTCATTAGGTTTCCCATTGCCGGATGTGTGCCTTGTATTTCGGGGACTTCTCCCGGGTCCCTGACTCTGACAGGTGTCCATCATCAACACTGTTAGAAGGATCATAAGGACTTATTTACCCTCATCTCTAGGCCCTCCCACTTCAGTATTAGTGGGAATCATATCCAACCTCTCTTTAGCCCCTTCCTCCCATAATCAGGGCCAGCAGCACTAAAAGTACTGGAGAATGTCTTGTCTACCCTGAAATTAGATTTGTAGGGGGCATTACTGGAGAAAGCATAAAAAAACTCCATGAAGTAATGCCAGCTACCTTTTAAATTTTTATTTTTAATTTTTTATTTTTGGAATTCAATAGAAAGAATCAGGACATATTCCACGGACTGAAGCAGTTCTAATTTTTTTCAGGACATTTGGCAGCATTGAGCCAGGGACCACGCTGTATCTGCCTCTGCTTTAAGAGAGGCAGCCAAAGCCACGTCCGTTGATGCCGTGATCTCTCTTGATTCAGTGTTTATTAGTGTCACTTTGCTCTCAGAATGTCGTGGCTCAAATGCCTATAGAGGATCTAAGTTGTATAACCTCTTGAACAAATGGTTTTTGAAGAAATTCCCACCTTCCTCATTTTCCTAAGACTAACTTGAACCTAGATGCAGAGTCAGTCTGCATTCAGGAGTGTTGATGGGAGGAATGAGGAGATACTGCAGAAGGTGTTAAAGTACAGCATAGTGATAAGAAGAGTTCCAGACTTAGAATCTGGTGGTCACCCCTGCTGTGGGAAGAATAGCTCTGTGTCCACACGTGCGCAGCACCCCTCCTGCATGACCCTTGCTCCCTTGGGCAGTGTCCACTGGGAGATCGTATCAAAATAACAAGTTTATCATCTTTCCATCTCTTTTGCTTTTTCATTAGTTTTAAGCAATGATCTGGTAAGCTTGGTACCTAGCAATAATACTTTCCTGTAAAATCCTGCTACTTTAAAGTAATATTCTTTTCCTTTCTCAATCTTCAGGATTGAATCGAACGACCTGCCTCTGTTGACTGCTATTGCCAGTACTCATTCTCCTTACGTCGCTCAAATACTCTTATAAGCTAAAGCTCAGGACAGTTCTTCCTCGGAAGAAAAAAATCAGATTCTCAACTGAAGAAGAATAAGCTCTCTGTGACGTCAAAAGCATAAGAAGAGCAAACAGAAACAGTCATTCCACCTCTTTGTTTTGTTTTGTTTTATTTCGTTGCTTTCAAGTGGATGCTTCATTGGAAGACTTAGGTTTACTTGACATAATGGCATGTGTGTTTTCATGAACACTTTAGGCCTTTTGTCACTGGTGAATCAACAGAGAGAGTGACCTTTTTGGTAGGAGGAAACACAAGCACTACACTGAACACTAAGCTGTTGGTACAGATTGGCTGTGTGTTTGGGCAGAATAGTGACAAGTGACTTTGGAGCAGGGGGTAAACAATGTATCTACCGTTCTAGTAGGAAAATGTGACAGAGTGTAAGCATGAGCTCTCCAAACTGGGGGAAGCATATTTTGCTGTTCTAAGAAGACAGTCAGAACAAGGACTCTGGAATCCAGGTCAGAGTTTGCTTTTTACAAAAGGTGAAATAAATAAAGCCACGTTGTGCCATCTTCAACTCTGGTGGCTATAGGAGTTACTGTCTGACGTGAAACATGAAAGAGGATTGACTATTGGGAAGAGAGTGCTTTAGGACCCACTGTTTTCACGTCTTGGAGTTTACCTTGTTTCAGATGCAACCACAGGTCGTTTAGAGATGGATTGTTGGTGCAATAAACCCAGGGATCAATGTAGCATCTTAATCCCATCGAGATGTAGTTTGTAGCAGCAGAGTGCATAGTCTGATACCATATGTTTTATCCTGATACTTTAGAGCTTTCAGCAGCCTTTTTAAGAGAGGCCATTTACCAAAGTTATTTCTATAAGCTCGAGTGTTTCTGTTGCTAAATTCTTCCAGCCGAAGCCACTTTCTTCCTATAATAGTTAATACAAACGACTATTTACACTTTAAGAGGCACAGCTGTTGTGGTGGGAAATGAAACCTGCAACAGTTCAGGATGACTAATGAAAGTAATTAGTTTGAACATTTATAAACAATCCATGTGTGATCTAAATTTTTACATTATCATCTTTGTGCCTTCTAATCCCTACGTCCTTTTCAAAACACCTTTCCAGAAATTAAATTACCCTCTCTAAAACCTGCCAAAATGAAGAATTGTTTATTTAGTAGCATAGTTCAGCTTTTTAAAAACTTTAGTTTTCTGTTAGTTTATAAGAAACTTTACTTAATTTCCTGACCATGAACTATGACCATGTCAGACTATGTACTGACATCCAGGGCAAAGGAGAAGACTTTAAAAAATTGATCGTTAAAAGACATCAGCTAATGTGGTAAAGCAAACATTGTTAGAACCTTGCAGATCTTGACTACAGCTAATTATGACCAGGTTCTGATCTCCTTTCACTGTTTTATGAATTAATTCCAGTCCCTTCCATGTATTTGTACCTAGGAACATGAAGTAACTTCCATCTTAGGGGTTAGAATGACTCTAGATTTTCTATTTGATAAAATCCTGATCCCAAACACCAAGTTACATAAGATTGTCTCTTTATTCTTTTACAAATACAAGTTAACTATTTGTTTCAAAGAATATAGCAGCAGTACCAATGGAGAAGAACAGGTATGTCATTTCTTAGGAACAATTCTTAGGAATAGGTCAGAACTGCTACCTTCCCTTCTCTCTCTCTCTTTTTTATGATGTGAAATGTAGATGGGTGCATTAAGGCTCTTAAGATCTTTAATTTTAATTTTATATCTTTCTTTCATAAAATTGAAGTTTTCCATTCTGTCTGTATTTTTCTCTTTCCTTTTGTCTAACATCTGAGTTCAGTGTTTTAAATTCTCTAGCTCCATGACATCATTGCCTGTTATATTACACAAAGAGGATGAACCTCACCTGTGGCTCAGCTCACTCATCAATTGTTTTTCATTACGTGAGAATAAAGTGTAATAGCTGATGTTACATTGTTTCCATCTGCACCAGTTTAAAGCATTTCTCTCATCTCTAGTTCCCTTTTCTGTGTTTACACGTTTTGGGCACTTTCTCTCATTCACCACCTTCCAGGGTTTCATAGAAAATAACTAGATACAAAATCAGTTCCTTTCTAGTGTGTACATAGTGGCATGTTGAAAATTAGACCCATGTAGGGGGATATCGGGCTTTGAATGGCTGATTCTAAACTCCATACGTAAAAGATTTAGCCCAGCCCCCTCAAAGCCTGAGAAGATTTGTCTCCTAATCTACTGGTCCAGAACTCTCTCTTGGAAAATGTCTGTTGGAAAACTGCAGGTGGGTCACATGTGGGGGTTGTCTCTGTGACGCTCAGGATTCAGTCAGGACCTAATCCTCACGTCTGTTGCCTACAAAAACAGACCAAGAATGTTGCTGCTCTTTCATAATCCTCCTCTCAACAACATTCAAGTTTTGTCTGTCTTAAATTCAACCTCTTCCCAAAAGTGGAAAAGAAAAAAATCTCATGGAATTGTGTTCAGATACCCTCTCACACACCAGATACCCCCAGTGGCTTCATTCTGTCTTAACCGAAGAGGCAAGAAAGGGATCCCGCCCTCTCCAATGCCCACCTCAAGAAAAACAGAAAAATTAAAAAAAAAAAAAGAAAACTACCTCAGTTGACAGGATTCCACCTTTAGGGTTTCTTCAACTTTTAAGTCTTACCTGTTGAGTGTAACTTTTGTAGCATCTTGCTTTTCTAAGCAAGCTAGTGAGGCATGACAGAGCAGAAGTGTGTAAATGTTACTGTGATGGACCTCTTTCTAGCATGTTGCCATTTTATTTTTAATAGATTGACGAGTGATATGAATGTAAAGATAATTGTGTACGTTTAAACATGACAATGAAAATTTAAAATGTAGCTTCCATACTTGTGCATAATTCCAAAGTATTTTATTTTTATCAGTGTTAAATAGCTTTTTGTACAGGCTTCAATCCATTTTTCTGAAGTGTGCTGTTTTTTAATGAAAGTAACTATAACCTTTTCACATCCCATGGAACTGCCGTTTACACATCGCAACTTTTTAAACTTACCGTATTTTTCAAAATTAACTCTTTTGGAGGGAGGGAAATCCCCGCTTGCTAAACGATGCTGAACCGTTGTTCAGGCTCTTCTGATTAGGTCCTGAGATTTTATAAAGTTCAGTCTCTAGCTTTTTAGGTTCTTCACTAGAGTTGGTTGTACATAAAAATAAAGAATATAAAATGACCCCAAAAATCTTTTAAATGTCTAGATTTTCCACTAATATGTACTTTTGAAAGTATTTTGTTCATGCATACTTTCACCATGAAATTGAAAAAGTCTTTAGCTTCTTTTGGTAAATGTGAACCATTTGTTTTTTATTGTGCTTTGGGGGAGGGGATATTTTAATATAGTATTTGCCTAAATCAAGCAGCCCCCTCTGAATGTTCATTTTTAAATGTCAAAATTTGGTGAACCATATATCTTGGAAGCAAGATTGCAATATGCTTAAGTTTAAGTGGTGTTTCAAAAAGGAGAAAATCCGGGATTTGTTATTATTGAAGCTCCATTAAGACAAATTAATAGGACTTTATATTTTTGATCAGTTTAAATAGGTATCAATGTCAATGTATGGAAAATTTTTCTTAAAACTTGTTCATGTATTATTTTGATCCATTTTTCTGTGGCATTTGGTGCAATAAACCTTTTGAATTTATCTTGAACATTTTCCTGGTACTGCATTTGATTGGTTTGTTTTATTGAATCTTGAACTTAAAAACTTGGAGGTCTCATTTTCATTAATTCATGCTGAAACAAATTCATTATATATGTCACTGGTTTTCAACAGGGGTGTTTTGGAAATGTAAGAACATTTTTGGTTAGCATAAGGATGGGTGAGAGCTACTGGCATATCATGGCTGGGGGCTGAGGATGGTAGGAGAAATGTCTTGTACTGTGTGAGACACCCCACGGGATGAGGAATTGTCCCACTTCCTGCATGACTTTTTTTTTTTTTTTAAGATTTTATTTTTCTCCCCAAAGCCCTCCGGTACATGGTTGTATATTTTCAGTTGTGGGTCCTTCTAGCTGTGGCATGTGGGATGCCGCCTCAGCAGGGCTTGATGAGCGGTGCCATGTCCGCGCCCAGGATCCGAACCGGGGAAACCCTGGGCCGCTAAAGCAGAGTGTGCGAACTTAACCACTTGGCCACCTAGCCGACCCCACTCTGCATGACTTTTAAATATCCTGCTGGACATTCATGTGGGTGAAAAAACTGTTTATAATTAAACTCAGAATTTGATTCTGCTTTCCGTAAAAGCACAATGTATTTTTCCCATATTTTAATATATTCTGAATTTTCCAGGAATGCTACTGTTGTATAAATTGAGGAAAGATTTTACTTTGTAAGGTTCAGAGTTTTAACAAGAATTGACATAAATCTGGAAAACAACATTACCAACAGCTATGGTACTCGTGGAATCTGAGGCATCAGTGCAGTGTGTGTGTCAGCCTTCATCAGTAGCGGTTGTGTTCATGAAGACTACATACAGATGCAAGCATCTGCCTACCTCATTCTATTTTCTGTTCTACTCTACTAGCGCCCCAATGTCTATATATTAATATATGTTAATATAAGTTACTTCTTAAATGGTACATCTAGGGATTATATTGGTCTGTTACAAATTATGTATATGAGTAGTTTATATTATTTATGAATTTTATTTTAGGAAGGTAAAGGGCATTATAAAATATTTGCTATGAAAGGGATGAGATCGTTGATATACATAGTCTCAGGAAAAAATATGCTGTTAAGTGTAACTTTTGTAGCAATATAATACCATACTGAATCATGTTGTTTTATATAACATTAGGCATTTCAAAGTCTTTTTTGGATTAAATGAAAGTTTCAAGTGTTTCCATATTCCCTCAAGAAGCTTTAAAATCATGCCATTGAGAAAGAACTTAGAAACACACATACACATCGCATTGTTTTTTGGTTCCCTGGTGTCTGGACTGTTCTGTCAGATGCTTTACATGTGTTACCTTATTTACTCCTCACTCCTGGATGAGATGGGTGCTGTGACAATTAATTTTATGTGTCAGCTTGGTTAGGCCATGGTACCCAGATATTTGGTCAAACACCAGTGTGGATGTTGCTGTGAAGGTATTTAGAGTAGACTATGAGTAAAGCAAATAACCCACCATAATGAGGGTGGGCCTCATCCAGTCAGTTGAAGGACTTAAGAGAAAACAGACTGAGGTCCCCAACGAAGAAGGATGCTGCCTCCAAACTGCTTTTGGACTTGAGCTATGACATCATTCTTGCCTGGGTCTCCAGCCTGCTGGCCTACCCTGCAGATTTTGGATTTGCCAGCCTCCACAATCACGAGCCAATTTTTTAATTCCTTAAGATCCATCAGTCTCTCTCTCTCTCCATCCTATTGGTTCTGTTTCTGTGGAGAACCCTGACTAATACAAGTACTTAAGATATCAATCCAGTGATAATATATAATGACCCAAAAATGGAGTTAGGTAGTCAGGAAATCGTCATACCAAATTATAGGAAGTAGACTTGGAAGCAAAGATCTTTTAAGATAAAAAATGGAGTTCACAGCTATCTCTTAAGGGTTGAGATACAAGTCACATAGTCACTGAGTATGTGCTGCTAAGGAGATGCTGGAGAACAAGGGAAGCGTAAGTTAGAAACAACCCTCTGAAATGGCAAGGAAGGAGGGGGCGCCTCATTCACAGAGGAAGAAAAAAGCCCCCTCCCTCTGAAGATTGATCCCTGCAGACGTGTGTGAGCTCCTACCGCTGTGCATCTCCATCTGCTTTCTTGGGGACCTCAGGTCTTCAGATATCATCCCTTTCCGTCATCTTCAACTTCTCAATCTATTGACTTTTTCTACTCATAAAGTGTGAAAACAAAAGTCGTTTCACCTGTATTAAACTTTTCTCCCCGTCCCCCCTCTGTATCCTAAATTTCTCCGTCCTTTGACAACTAAGCATTTTCTAGAGCTCTCTACTTGGCGTTCACTTCTTTACTTCCTGTTCATTCTCTACTCACTGCCACCTGGGCCACCCACCCCCACACACAAGGTCTGCGGTTCAGCCTCCACTTCCTCCGTTCCAGGCGTCCAGTCAGCACTGAGAGTTGTTGAATCTGCTTTCTTTGTGTCTCAGATGCATCACCTTTTCTCCTTTTCCTTTGCCTTCTTTGAGTCCCTTCTCATTTCTGAATTGAGTTGCCAAAATACCATCTGAACTCATCTCCCTTTCATATCAAACAGTTCTAATCAACCTTCTTCCAGGCTGATGCCTAATCTTTCCAAAATGAAAGTTTAATCTGGTCACTTCTGCTTAAAAGTCAGCCCAGTAAAATCCAAGTTCCTTAGCACCGTGAGCTCAAATGACGCAGCTGGTCCCTCTTTCCAGCCTCACCACCAGATACCCCTCTTTGCACGCTATTATCCAGCCATGTTGAACCACATGCACTTCCCCAAAGGTACTAGGTTATCATTTTCTCTGTCCTGTCAATCCATTCTTCCTAGTCTCCTTCTCCCCTTTGCTCCATCAAGTCCTTTCTCTTCCTAGCTCAAAAAGCAATTTAGTCAAATCCTCTAGCACCTTGCTACTCAAGATCCCTGGACTAGCAACAACTTCATTGCCTGGGACCTTGATAGAAATGCAGAATCTCATCCAGCCCCAGTGGCCTAGAGGTTAAGTTCGGCATGCTCTGCTTCAGCAACCCAGGTTCAGTTCGCAGGCACAGACCTACACCACTCTATCTGTCAGTGGCCATGCTGGGGTGGTGGCTCATGTACAAAAAGAGGGAGATTGGCAACAGATGTTAGCTCATGGCAAATCTTCCTTAGCAAAAGAAAAAAAAGAATCTCGAGCCCCATCCCAGACCAACTGGATCAGAATCTGTACCTTAATGCTGTCCCCAAGTAATTCATATGCACATTAAAATTTGAGAATTACTCTTCCTCACTCAGTGTGAATGAAGAGATGAGGGAAAGAACATATCAATCACTGCGATTATACCCATATATTGGAATGAAGGGGGACAATGAGAATGTTTGCAAGAAAAGAAATGAAATAGAAATCGATGATGTTAGAAGTGTCTGGCACATACACATAAATTTGACAACACTTACAGCTATTATTTATGTAAAGAAAAAAATTAAAGATCAAGAAAGGAAAATAACAAATGCACTAGAAGATAGGATGTGAGGGACATTTTGTGACTTTAAAAAAACAGAAATTTGAGGAAATATAGTAGAAGAAACAGTTTAGAAATTTCCCAATTGATTTTAAAAAATATTTGTGAGAGTATTTTGGGTAAATGTGTATATACGGGAATGATACATACTGTTAAGTATCATAAATAGTACTTTTGGAAACACTGTAATTACCATCCAAACTTAGGTTTATAAGTCAAAATCCAAACTGAAGAATGTGAGTATAAAATATCCCCATTTTCAGCGATCTGTCTTAATGAGAAAGTGTGTGATAGTGTGTATAGGTTTATGCTTTCAAAATTTTCCCCAAATCCCTCAATACCATTGGCAAATTTTTACTTTTTCAAGGCTGCTTTCAGTGCATACTTCTGATTCTTGCAGCATAAGACTGGAAGATGTGCTGGCATCTCAGGTAAGTGCGGGAATGGTGGCCACTCATGGGTGGCAAGTGTGAGGCATTATGTTAGAAGCTTTACACATGTTGTGTTCATTATTTGCTTTTGAATTTATAAGAACACTTGATTCAAGTTATTTCCACTGAAGAGGATTTATATTCAAAGTGCGGGTGGGGGTTGAGTACTTATTGAAGGATCATCCACAAGAACCCTAGGGGATGGTCCGAAAAATGGGTGTGGAGAACCCGTTTCTAATGTATCTCTGGATATTTAGAAGAAAGCCTAGTTGATGAAGAAAAAAGAGAGAGAGAGCTTATTTTGATTAATAGAGGATTTTGCTTATTTCTGGAAGGGAAGTGTTGTGACCAAGAAATTGATTACCCTCACCAGTTATGAGTGAAACTGACCTCAGGTGCCTCTTTCATATGGTGCACTGACAATGACATAGAAGCACTTATCTGCAATTCCTTCCAAAAACACATAACCTGAATCTACTCGTGAGAAAACGTCAGGGAAATCCAAATTGAGAGGTATTCTACAGAACTGGTCTGTACCCTTCAAAAATGTAAGTGTTATAAAAAAAGCAAGACTGAGGAACTGCTCCAAATTGAAGGAGACTAAAGAGAGATGAGGACTAAATGTAATACATGATCCTAGATTGCATCCTGGATCGGGGGGAACAAAAGGACACCATTGGGTCAATTAATAAAATTCTATTATGAACTATAGATTAGATAATAATATATCAATGTTACATTTCCTGAATCTCACAATTGTACTGCGGTAATGTGAGAGAACATCCTTGTCCTTAGGAAATACACCTTGAAATATTTAGAGGTGAAGGAACATCATGTCCGTAACTTACCCTCAAATGGTTTGGGAGAAAACCAAACCATTGTGTGTGTGTGTATATCTATGCACACACACACATATAGAAAGTAAGCATTAAAGCAAATAAAATTAATAACTGACAATTCTGGGGGAAGAATGTATCAGGAGTTCACGTTGTACTGTTCTTGAAACTCTTCTGTAAGTTTGCAATCATTTCAAAATAAAATCTTTTAGCAGATTTTTTTCTAAATG